ATGGAGGTAAGTAGTTGGTGGGAGTAGATTGGTTCTTTATCTGGACTCATTTATTTGGATTAGCATTTTATACAGATATATTTATTATAGGGCTATTGCTCTAGTTGGTATGGTGAATCTTTAGACGTCTTTATTAACTAGTTGATTCGTTACAGACAATTGGTTTTCCTTGGTCATTCCCGTATCAGTGATACTACTCTCTCTCTCTTTTCAGTTTGACAAACCACAGGGACGATGGAAAGGCTGAAGAGGCCATTGTTATGACCAGGTTGGATTTCGTTATGACAGTTGGAATTAAGTTACTACGGACTTCTTACTACATTTGGATCTTGTGATGTCGCAGTAGTCAAGAGGAAATGGATGGCTACGCTGGGACTTATATATCCTCTGTTCTACTCTGATTGGTTCTTTCTTTAATGATTTTTTTTTTCTTTGCTGCTATGGAGCTAGTAAAGAAAGTTTATGCAAATACTCGCCTCCTGTCATTATTAAAATTAAGATTATTAGTACACTGCGCTAGCATAATCTTCAATTTTTTTTCACCAGTTCTATACTACAGAAGCGGAAGCCTTTAGGATCTCCTCCATGGTATGCTCTAAGACAGGGATAGGCAACCTTCGGCACTCCAGATGTTGTGGACTACATCCCCCATAATGCTCTTACACCCATAGTGCTGGCAAAGCATCATGGGAGGTGAATTCCAAAACATCTGGAGTGCCTATGCCTGCTCTAAGATGTCTTGCAATTGGGATTTCTGTTAGATCTTTAGGAGATCTAATATGTCCCTTAAGGACCAGACTTCTGGAATAAAAGGGAATCATGACATGACAGGTCACACATGTCATGTGTCCTTAAGGGGTTAAACGGGCGAAAAGGTCTTCCCAACATATTTCAAATTGCATTGGCAGGTGAGTAGATATACTAAACCTGCAGTATTGTTATTAAAAAAGGATGTAATTTTAAACTCCTCCTTTCCCTCACTGTCCTCAATTTTTTTAGAGTCCTTCTTAATATATTTACATACAGTGCATCTCCCGCATCTGAAAGTGCCAATTACAGGGTTTTGGAGCCACGTTCTGGGGGACTGTTTTTGTTGTAGATGGCTAGGGGCCAAGAGATCTTGCAAGTTTTCCTCTGCATGCTGTGATTGTTACATTAGAAGCAAGTACATCTTTCAGATGCTCATCACTTGTAAGCAGTGGCCAGAAACGTTGGAGTGATTATTTTTTTTTACCGCTTCCCCAGCCTGCGTAATAGGTAGCTATAAGTCTAATGGTCTGCTTAGATTCACTAGATGTTGTTTTAGGTTCAGTCTCCTTTAATAGTGTACTTCGATCAGATTCCAAGGCCCTCCTTTAGGCACATTTCAGGCATTTGTTGGGGTATCCTTTCTCCTTAAAGTGGTCTCTAAGATCTTTAGCTTTTTTGTTAAATTCTTCAATAGAGCTACAGTTCCACCTGACTCTAAGGTACTGACCTATAGTAATACCATAATTTAGGGGTTTTGGGTGGAAGCTGTCCCACCTAAGGAGATTATTAGACGCTGACTGTTTCTTGTATAGTGTTATTTGTTGTGATGGAAATTGTGAGATCTAGAAAATTAAGACTAGATCCGCTGAATTCACTGGTGAATCTCAAATTCTCATCATTGATGTTGAAGGCTTTTACAAAGTCATTAAACTGCTCCGAATTACCCTGCCAGATGCCATAAAGAAATGAGAGGAAGATACTTAGAGATAATTTCAGAGTGTATTCAATTTTCTTCCCACCAACCCAGGTGGAGGTTAGCGTATGATGGGGCACACGCTGTCCCCATCGCATTACCTCTCACCTGGTGATAGAATTTGTTTTTATATGTAAAAAAAATGTGTGTCAGTATGTATTTGAGGAGTTCAACACAAAAATTTGCATGATGGGTATATTGTTGCCCCCGTTGTTTAAGGAAGTGGCCAACATGTTGGATACCATTAAGGGAGATTCTTATGGGTCAACTCAGTGAGGGGTTTGGCCAGGGTGCTGTAATTGGGTACGAATTTACGGTAATACCCGGCGGTTCCTAAGAACACTAGAACTTCGGTCTTAGTGTGTGGGGTTAGCCACTGTGCCACTGCCTCTATTTTGGCTGGTTCAGGCTTTTGTTTTCTGCTCCCTACTCTGTGGCCGATGGAAATTAACCTCAGCCATCCCTATATGGCATTTGCTGGGTTTGAGGGTCAGCCCTGCTTCACTGATACGGTCTAATACCGCTCCTATGTGGGTCAAAGTCCAAGAGTGGCTATAAATAGCTATATTGTCCAAGTAGGCACAAGCATACTCCTGGAACCCATCCAATAGCCTATCTACCATCCGCTGAAATGTACCGGAGCGTTTTTCATCCCGAATGGCATGACCTTAAACTGGCACAAGCCAAACGGGTGACAAACGCCGACTTGGGATTGGCTTCTTCGGCTAGTGGAATTTGACAGTACCCCTTACAAAGATCGATTTGTAGTGAGGTGCTGGCCCCTTGCCATTTTATCTAAGAGTTCATCTATCCTTGGCATAGGGTAGGCATCAGACACTGTTTTGTCATTTAGCCTCCGGTAGTCTACACAGAAGCGGGTCGTTCCATCTCGCTTCGGTACTAGCACTATCGGAGATGCCCAGGGACTGTCTGAATGTTTAATAACCCCTAACTGTAGCATCTCCTCAATCTCTTTCCGCATATTCTCCTTTACAGGTTCTGGTATGCGGTAGGGGGGTTGGCGTAGGGGCTTCTAATCGGTGAGTAGCCAGAGGGGTGTACCCGGGCAAATTGGAGAAGGTGGCCCTCTTGGCCCTAATCAAGTCTTGTGCCTGGGTACGCTCCTGTGGGCTCAGCCGTTTTCCTAACTGTACCTCTCCTAGGCCCTCGGCCTGGTCTCCCTTCTATATGAGATCTGATAGGGGTAGGTTGTCGAAGTCTTCTGACACCAGGGCGCAAATGGCCGTCACATCCTCTATGCACTCATAGTAAGGCTTAAGCATATTCACATGGAGCATGCGTCTCCCTCCCGCCCCGGTGCACGGGCCGATCACGTAGTTGGTATCGCAGATCTACTCTACCACCTGGTATGGGCCCTGCCAGGGTGCCTGCAGCTTATCATTGTGGATGGGTTTTAAAATTTACACCCTTTTGTCCTATTTGAAAGCTGCGGTCCCTAGCTCGTCCTATCGTACCACCTGTGCTGTCGTTGTTTGGCAGCCTGGAGGTTTGGCGCGTACTGCCTGGATCAATTCCTCCAGGCGATCCCTGAACTCCAACACATATGGGACAATACCATTAGTATTGACTTTGCCCTCCCAATGCTCTCTTATTAAGTCCAAGGGACCTCTCACCCTTCTCCCGAACAGTAGTTCAAAGGGGGAGAACCCCGGTGGATTCTTGGGAGACCTCTCTATATGGGAAGAGCAGATGGGGTAGGAATCGCTAATATCTTTTGAAATTCCTGGCCAGAAGAAATTCTGGGTTAGCCTATATTTAGTCTGACTGACTGACTCCTAAATGACCTGATAACAGAATATCATGGGCAATGCTGAGATTGTACTTCTGGGGAACTATCAGTTGTTTCATGGGGATTAGTACAGATCCTGCTACTATCCTCTCGGAGTGCCTATATAGTAATCCCTTGTCCCCGGCATACCTTTTTCCCTCTAACCGGCCTGACTGGCAACCACCCTATCTTTATAGACTTGCAATGAGGGATCTAACCCTACCTCATTCCCAAACTCTAGGGGTGCATCCCATGGTTTGGCGGCTGTGGATGGGGACGAGTTGCTTACCTGAGCCTCAGAGTGTGCTTGTGGTGCCGTGTCTCTCTACTATACTTTTTCCTTATGTTAAAGATATTTATCCTTAGAGATAGTTTGTCTTGTAATTTAGCATAATGTGCCTATCCATGTTATGACTGCGACTTTCACCACCCCCCTCCCGCTGCATTGAAACCGTACTAGCTTTAACGTACCGTATGTACCAGAAAATTCAATGTGACAAGGTGGAATTCGGTAGAGTATTTATCGAAATTCTGAAAATACATAATGACAATATGAGCGTATTTGTTTAAGTAAGGCACATTCCAGACTGACTGACCATATATACATTTGTTTATATTTCATAACAAAGACTCATCAAACATTCTTTTTTTGTCCCAATTGCTAAAACAGGAAAAACATAGAAACAGATCAGAATATGTAGCTACCAATGTCATACGCAGATTTTTATAACAGGTGTGGGTATTGAGTGTAGGCTCACAATACTTTAGATAAGGTTTAATTGCTCACCCTTTGGCATGAACACAAGGCTTCGTAAGTCCATTTAAACTGGTCTAGTAGACATGACTAAGTTATATTAACTGCTTTAATTGTGGTTGTAATTTAAACATGTTATCTAGTTACTGTATATAGAGAATAATACTGAATGACCATATTTAGCTTTTACTTATTAATAACCATTTAGCCGTATCTATTATACTAGAGCAAAACACATTTAACAAGCGTTTATAAACAGGCATAATTAACAGCTACTTCATCCCAGACCATGTATTGCCTAACCTCGTGAGTCCCTGTGAAGCAAACTGTAATAATCACTGCATTGTTACTTGTTGGGTTTACGTGTAGTTAGCAGTTTAATCCGTAGATGGCAGTGTTGTGCATAGTTTTTAACAGGTTTGTAAATCTGATTTTTTTTTTTATTCTTTATTTAGGCAGTACATTACAGTGAAAACATAATGCATCATAATATTGCAATATATTGTTACATTGTGCATGACAGTATTCTCTCACATTTTCTATAACAGTAGGCCAATACTCCTCTTAAGACCTTACATGTCCATTGTAGCATGGAGTGTGTCTATCGGAACGCACGCCTCTGTTTTCCTGCCCGCCCTGGTAAAAAAAAATGTTAAATTATAAAGAAAAGTATAACAAACATAAAGAGGCTGAAGTTACCATACAAACATTTATTTTATCGATAGGACATGCCTTATCCGTTCCTATGCAGTCATGTACGGATCCCATATATCTTTTTCGTGAGCTCATTCGATTTTCTATCTGTTTGCTCCTGCTTTCACATGTCCACATCCTTTAGTGGTGCAAAGTATTTACATATTGCATGGAAGTGTTAGATCAGTTGTGATAAGTTCTCACATAGAAAAGCAAGAAAAGAGGGAAAGAGGAGTAAGAGGGGTAAGTATGAAGATAGGGAGTGTGGGGGGGGGATGGTAGGGGAGCGCGGGGGGAGTCACGCCAACCTACATCCATCCGAGCCAAGCCCATCATTGTGTGTCCATCAAGCACTTGCTAAGCTGGCTACCCAAGGGCCCCAAATGTTTTTGAAACTTTTTTGTTGTACCCCTAACCCGGGCTGTTAGATCATCCATCAGGTAATTATTTTAAATTTTCCGAATCACCACAGTGATTCCTGGGGCCTTTCTTTGCAGCCACACCTGTGCCAAAGCTCTCCTAGCGGCCAGGTTCACCTTATGTAATAGAGTCAGTTCTGTTTTTGTACAGTTTTCTATAGGTCTGGCTAGTAAGAATACCCATGGGTCTAGCTTAACCTCCCTCTCAAATATTTCTCGCAGCAGCTGTGCAATTTGATGCCAATAAACTTGTGTAATTGGGCATTCCCACCACATGTGAATATATATGCCCTTGAGGCCGCACCCCCCACCAGCATAGGTCTGTAGTAATTTTGTTCATACGGCTCAACTTTACCGGTGTAGCATGCCATCAAAATAGCGTCTTATATGATTTTTCCTGCAGCGAGACACACATAGAGGACTGTGCGGCTGCCTCCCATATTTCCTGCCATTCCACACCCTCCAACGTCTCTCCTAAGTCTGCCTCCCAGTGGTCTATGTATGTAATTGCTCCCCATTCTAATGTGGTGTTGCACAAATGTGAGTATAGATGTGAAATCAATCCGCTTGGGAACTTTTCATTTGCGCACATCCTTTCAAAGAATGTCATTTGTGCCTCTGCGGCTTTTTTAACCTGAAGGTCTTGGGCATAGTCTCTAATTTGGAGATATCTAAAAAAGTTAAATGATCGCAGAGGAGTTCTAGTTTGCAGGTCCTCAAACGTTACAAACGACCCCCCCTCGAACATCTGGTGTAATCTTTGCAACCTTGCGCGTTCTACGTCTCTGAAATCCCGGGCTCTCATTCCTGGTATGAATGCTTTGTTCCTCAACAAAAGGGTCATTGGAGAAGGGGAAGATATCAGGCCATAGTTAGTGGCGGCTGCATCCCATATCTTCAGTGAGTTGAAAATTGCGAGACAGGTCACGCTGATGTGTGGTCTGTGCTCCCTAGGGGTACACATAAAGAACTGAGGCATATCCATCCCCATAAGGGAGGCTTCCAGGTCCACCCATCTCCTTTCCTCCGGGGGGAGTGCCACAGTGCCACCTGTGCCAGCTGGGCCGCCTCATAATCTTTTGGATCAACAGCAAAAAACAAATGTGAGGTAGGCTGGACTTGATGGATGCAAGTCTCCTTTCAGCTATGTAACTATGTAACTATGTAACTATAATAAAAATATAGGTGCGGAAGTCCCAGACCACCTCCGTCCCTAGCCCGGTAAAGGATGTTTTGTGAGACCCTATGCTTCTTATGCTGCCATATAAATTTGCCAATGGTTTGTTGGAGTGGTCCCAAGTCAGATCTGGTCACTCTGATCGGGAGTGCCTGAAACAAAAACAATATTTGAGGTTGCACATTCATTTTCACTGAATGAATCCTCCCTAACCAAGAAATCACTTTTTCCGTCCAGCTCTCCATATCCGTCATCAATGTCCTAATCAGCGGGGTATAATTCTGTTGGAATAATTTAGATGGGTCTGCCATCAGTCGTATGCCTAGGTATTTGATGTGGTCTCTTGTTGTTCATAATTGATAGGTCTTCCCTATGTAGGTTACATCCACCTCTGACATGCCTATGGGTAGTACGCTGGACTTGTCCATATTTACCTTATATCCGGCCAGTTCCCCAAACTTTTTCAAGACATCTGTTAGCGCCATCGTGAACTCCCTCGGTTCTGTCAGAGTCAGTAAGACGTCATCCGTGAATCCCGACACCACTTATTTTTGCCCTCTGACTTCTACCCCTTTGATGTCTCGGGCTTCGCGTATCGCCTGAAGGAGTGGTTCTAACGAAAGAGCGAACAATAAGGGCGACAATGGGCATCCCTGTCTAGTGCCGTTGCTTAGGCCGAACTGAGTTATCTTTGCTCCTGAAATTTGAATTTGCGCCCTAACGTTAGTATACATGGCTCAGATCGCTGTTGTGAACTGGGCTGGGAAGCCGTAATGATCCAGCACTGTGAATAGATAGGGCCATTTAACCCTGTCGAACGCCTTCTCGGCGTCCAACGACAGTATCATCGTCAGTATTTTCCCTGTGTTTTGTCTCCATATGAGGTCCACATTACATCTGGTATTTTTGAAGAGTTGCCTATTCGGTATGAACCCCACCTGGGAGTGAACCAGCTGATTCAGCATCGGGTTTAACGTGGCAGTCAGAATTTTCACTAGTATTTTTGAATCGTGGCTGATCAGGGATATCGGGCGGAAGTTTTCTGGGGCTGATAGATCTCGCCCCGGTTTTGGCAGTAAGACAATGTCTGCTAGCGACATGTCTGTCAGGTGGGCCCTTCGTCCATTAGTTCGGTGAGCCAAGCTTCCATATGTGGAATAAGTTCTTCCCTAAAGGTTTTATAATAGTTGCCATCGAAGCCATCTGGTCCCGGTGCCTTGTTGCTCTTCAATGTGGATATCGCTACGTCTATTTCTTCTGACGAGATCTGTTTCCCCAAGGCGTCTGCTTCCGCCCCATTCAGTGTAGGCAAATCCAGCCCAGCAAGGAAAGCTTATATCTTGTCTCTTTCGCTTTGCATATCGGTGAGGTCTGTTGTAGAATGATTATATAGTTTAGTAAAGAATTCTGTGAATACTTTTGCTATGTCTATAGGGTTCGTTTGATTATTGACCTGAAGCGTCCTTAATTTTGATGATGTGGGTTCCGTGTTGCCTTGGGTTGCCTTGGGTTCCGTTTAGAACCTACAATAGCCCATGCCATATCGTCTAGCAACGTTTCACTAATTGAGGCCCTCAATTTCTGCACCGCCAGTAGGTTAGTGGGTGTAGAATCAGTCTTATGTCTTTGTTCAGCCTTCCGCAAGGACTCCAGGAGGGATGATAGTAAGAGGGTTTTACGTTTTTTCTTTAGTGTTGCTTCGCGAATTAATATGCCCCTGATCACTGCTTTATGAGCCGTCCACACCGCCACCTTCGACAGGTCCGAGTCGGCTTCTCTGGCAAAATAGTCAGTTAGTTCCTTCCGCACCGTGTCCACAATTGCCGGATAACGAAGCAGAGACGTATTCAATTTCCAGGACCAGGGGGACGCCGCACATAGTTTATCCAGGGTCAGGGAAATGTCTGCGTGGTCTGACCAAGTGATGGAGCCTACAGTCAATTCCGATACTTTGGGTACTGATGAGGGGTTACCAAAAACAGATCTATTATCGAATAGGTATCATGGGGGGCCGAATAAAATGAATGTATTTTGCATGAAGAGATGTAATACTTTGTCCTGTCCGCCCCTTTTGTGTGATCTGGGAAGATCCTTGCTAGATCCCCTATCTCTCGCTGGGCAGGAGCAGCGTTAAAATCACCCCCCACTATTACCATTCCACGTGGTAATGCATTGACTTCCTGAGTTTATTCTGCCCAGAACTCCCTAGATGGGTCATTTGGGCCATAAAGGTTGAGAATATGTATACTATCGGTGTACAGTGTTCCTGACAGGAGTACAAAGTGGCCTCCCGAGTCTGTGTGTACCCTGGTAACATTGAGTGGGCACCTACGGCACCTACGGTGTATCAAAATAGCCACCCCATTCCTCTTATTGAGAGCTCTAGATTCATACGTGGTGTGGGTAAGTCTGATTTTTTTTTGATTTTTTTTTTAACTGAAAGTTTATGTTTCGTTATGATAATAAAGTGAAAAAGAGAGCACACAAAAAATATAATTATACTTATATAAAGTGGTACAGAGTACCTTTAGATTACAGCTGCTAAACAAAAAAAGAATTTACCAAATCCAATGTGTAAAATTTTTTGAATTGTGTTGTCAGCACTTAGTAGATAATCCCCTTTGATTTAGTTAGGGGTATACACATTCACAAATGTATCTGCAACAATTGGAAACAGCAATGAAATACAGTATACAATATATACAAATTAGTTAGGGGTATACACATTCACAAATGTATCTGCAACAATTGGAAACAGCAATGAAATACAGTATACAATATAAAAGTATCAATGTTGCTGATTGTAACAATGAAAATATTGCATAAAGCAAAATTATATCACGGTCCAATATGTGTGATTTATAACAGGGTCCAAAGTGTAGGGAAGTCCAAAGAATTATTGGAAACACAATCTTGTGCTTGAAATCCCTTAAAAAAGACAGAAAATAAATATAGTGTAATACTGTATTTAATGTCTTAAAATAGAAAGGGAATCCCCCTCCCCAAACATAGGAACCCTTACAAGAAAAAAATGTGGTGCTTATTGCTAAGGACCACACTAAAAGCTTATCTGGCTGCAGTCTCTCCTCCGTTCCAAATGTACCGTCTGGTTTGCAGATGAAAGCAGCATTTGCCTCATGTACTGAGGCAAGCTGTATGTTCGGTAAAGTGCTCCTCTCCGCAGATGTAACTCCGGTTGGCATGGAAAGCTAGACGTGCAGGGTATTTGCAGTCACACAAAGAAGCATAAAAACAAATAAATACCTGATCAACGCGTTTCGCCCCTCTTGTGTGGGCTTTTCCAAGATAGGCGTTTCATGTGCTGTTCGGCGGTTATATACCTTGCCGGGAAAAGCACATTTAAATCCTTAAAGGTGTATCCATTTGCTTGCACATATCAAATCTTATTGTGTAAAATCGTCCTTGAAGATCAAATTTGATAATCTAGAGTAATAGCAAGCTATGCATCTTACTTGATATAACAATTAAGAGACACCTTGATATAACAATTAAGAGACAATTTGTACAAATAAAAAGCAACAACAGAACTCTTTTGAAACATATATGGTTACACAGACATATTGAATATTATACAATTCTATCCATACATGTAAAACTAAAAATTCTCAACTCATTCTTGGGAATATATAAAATAATAACCAACACAAATCTTATTCTAAAATATATGCAAAATATATAAATATATATATATATATACACACAGAAAATATGCAA